CCTAGTGATTCTGTGATTCTGTGATATTTCTCACCTTTATGCAATAGATGGTGCTGCCAAACCTCCAAAGAGGAGGTTTTTCTGCTCTTGCTTCTCTATTTCCTACCTGCTGTCTCTCTACAGCTCCTTACACTGTATTCTTTGGGTGACCACTGAGTGGTGAAGAGGGCAAACACTAGATACTTTCCTCAAAATACTCTTTTAATCTCCAGAAATGTGAGGCTTTGAGGACTTCTTGAGTCATAGTGTTTAGTAGCCCTCAGAAGATTTATCTTTCATGCTTTTGTCTCATCACCCCTGAATCCAGACAAACTCTTACCTTCTGCAACATCCTGGCACAAGGATTTCGTCAGAGTGACATCCAGACACTGTATAGGAGTGAGGCTACAACACGATCCAGCCTCTAGTATTTCTCCATATTTCCCTTCAAAGAGTACTATTAGGAAGGAAGTTGTTAGTTAAAATGTGTGGATAGCCAGGGACTCAGACCCCTGTGCAAAATAGGAGATCTCTATATTGACAGTACAAACACCTGTTAACACCCAGCCACATCTCATAAGAAGCCTTGCTGAAGGCTGTGGGTTCCTCTTGGTTACCAAACCCCTAAAAGTTAGGTACAGAGATCCTCTTCTCATAAACAAAGACCTCTTCTAGATCTTGGCTTATCTGACAGTCACACTTAAGAAGCCACAGTGTCCGTAAACTCAGAACGTGATATTTGGCTTAAAAGTCATTTGCTGTTTTCTGTAATCCAGGCTCGCTGTCAGCGTGACACTGAACAGATCTCCAGGGATGGACCTCTTGAAATTGGCTTCCCAGTTCCTGTGAAGGAGGTAACACCACTTCAGGCATTGCCAGCATCTACAACAGGAAAAAAAGGTAGTTTCCTCTAGTGATGTGGGATGGCAGGCTTTGGTAATGTTTTGGTTTGTACGTGGTTGGGTGGAGGTGACAAGGGCGGGGAATTTATTAGCCAGTGAATCTTTCATGCATCTTTCCAGCCTAGAGCAAGACATACCCTTTCTCATGCCAAGATATCAACAGCTCTTCCCAGCCACATCACTTGGGCATGACAGATACCCTGGATCCCAGCCTGGTTCCTTTCTTCTCTATAAACCTGCACTTCCCCCATGCCATTCCAACCTCTGGTGACATGTGACTCATGTCGCACACTCATTCAGCTAAACCCTAAACTCTCTTGCTGACCTGGTACTTGAGCATACCTCATACCTCCACTGGCAATAATGTGTTTATTCTCTTCTTGGGACTCATAGACTGTAAAATCTGAGAACATTAAAGAGAAAGCAAACTCTAAAGAGGAGTTTGGGAGTCCTTCTGACCACCACGGCCAATTCTCTTTCTGATTTCAGATTTCTGGGTGGGGTTTGACATCCAGTTGACATCCATCCTTTGAAACCACTGACAGATCCCCACTTCATTCATCCAGGAGCTGATCTAGGTGTCACGGCCCTCTGTGCTACAAGAGCAGATGTAAATGTGAAAAGGGTGAATGAAAGATTGGG